CAAGACCAGCGGAAACAAAGGTTAGATGGAGAGTGGTTAACCCTACTTTGTGAAAATGTGGTGTTTTGGCGCACGATTCACGGGACATCTGAAAGTAATGAAAAGTTCATAACTTCAGCTCAATGATTGAAACAATGGAAAATCTTGAAAAAATGCCTACGTTTAAAAATCGTATAATTGTCACAGGATTGATTCGTTTTTAATTTATGTATCCGAAGGCTTGCAAAATACGGGTCTTCTTTACAAAGCCCACGCCACTAACGTGATATTTGAAAAAAACACGTTATGAAATAATGAAGTAGTAATTATCTAGTTTTGGCTCAGGTTCGGGTTAGAAAAGATTTAATAATTTCTCACCCCAGAACCGTAATTGAATTATTTTAAATTTGTTTTTATTTTGAGCGAAGGCGGTGGTGTTTTTCCGGCAAGGGCTTTGTACAAAGAATCTCGAAATACTTATCTGAAGCATAATCAAATTTTGCATATTAACCCGACACAAAATGTAACAAAGGGAGGTCAGGTTGTCAAGGTCGCGGTCAGAATTACCGAAAGTGGGGAAGAGAGTAAATCGGAAAATTTCCATGAAACCTTCGCCGCAATTGGGCAGGCCACTTGTGAAATAGTCCCCTTTTTTGACTGGTAATGTTTTTCTGTTATGTTGTCGATTAAGGATTTTGCAGTTGCGCAAAGTATTCAATTGGCGAGTTATTCAATCCGAGTCTATTTTTAAGTTCTTGCTTTATTAATTTAATTGTGTGTTCAATGTAACCTGTGGTTGCGTCGACAAAATAGGAACATAACAACGAAATATCAAGGCAATTCACGGATATAAAAAGTGTTTTTCAAACTGCCCAATTATATTTAGTTTTGATCGTATTTTTGCGATGTTACGAATTATACAAATTTGAAATATAAACTCCCAAGATTATTTTCAAGATATAAACGTTAGAAAAATCCCTTGATCTGCTATAAAATATCAAAGACTACAATTTAGTAGTACAATATAAATGAGTGTGCAGTGATACCTCGGTGGTCGACAAAAATATTCGAGTCAAAAATGCTGCGGTATTCAAAAATTCGGATCTCAAACACCCGGGCCGAGCGGATTCTCGCGGCCGAGTAAGATGAAGCCATCCAAAACCGAACTCAATCGATACAGGTTAAAAAGACTGACAGACGAAAATCTGCTAATCCTGAAGTATGTGAACCAAGATGGCGGACACCGGAACGTAGTTTGTGTACCAGGTTGGGGTTAGGCCATAGTTTCAGGTACAAATACTACGGGAGTCATTTGGCTAGTCCCCGAACCCGTAATAAAACTAAAACAAGGAAAATTGGAATAAAATTATGGCCTAATCCTAACCTGGTACACATACTACGTTCCGGTTCCCGCCATCTTGGTTCACACACTAGGGGAGTACCGAAAATATTGGTATGTAATTGAGAGTTTCCAAATTGTCAGTTGGACCTAATATAAAGAAAGCACCTAGAGAACCAAAAATGTGTTGAAAATATCGCTATGCAAAAAAATGCATTGAATGTTCTATTTTTATTTTATGCTGCAATATATCATTAAATACCTTCAGTATGGATACCAGTTGTTCGTTTTTGTTGAATAAAATTAACAGATATCATAGTATGACTAAAAAGTTGTGCGGCCCACTTAATCAGCGGCGACTTGTAAAATGGCAAATAGGTTCGTCACCCCTGATGTAAACCATATAATTATGTAAAATCCTTTCCACTTGTTCACAAATATACGGTTTCTTTTCTGTGATGAACTTAAAACACCAAAAAATTTACTATCTCTGAATTGTCGGCTTGCCTTTCAAGAAAAAGCTACGGATTTTTGTTGAAATGAAAAAATTCAACAAATGTAGTGAGTGCATTCTCAAAGCATGCGAATTTCCTTCTCCAAGCATCTCCGCTGATATCCTACTACTTCGTCGTATGACAGCCTCGACTATCGGCCAGAAATCAAGTTCGTCGGATTATGTTTGAAAATCTTTCATCGCGAGAACTGTGTCGGATTAGATTACATTTCGATGTTCAAATGTTTGCCTGTTGGAACGATTCACCAAATCTAACATCTAGGAAGTCCACAATAGACCTCAGAAAAGGCTTATAATTCCGTAGCAGTATAACGGTTTTTACATCTTCCATCTACATCTTCAAATTTTGAAGTTTTTTGTTTATCATATCAGCGCAATTTTCAAGTCGATTGTTTTTGATTGTAGAGAAACGGATAAACTATGCGTGTGAGCCAGAATGTTTATTGTTCTCATTCGCATTTGAAAAGCTTCCGCTTCGTCGGATGATACCGAATCACATGTTCTTTCAATTTCATTCAGTGCGTGTAAAACTGGCAAATACAGCTCGCGAAAGAGTGTCGTTGCACCTTTTCCTAATTTTCAATTGTAACTTTCTTATTAAGACATGATTAGTACTTAATCAAGGGTGGAATTTAGCTTCGAGAACATCTTTAAGCATAAAAACAACATATCCTAATTTTCAGGTGTGACACCATACTTTAATTCTTGACGTAACTAAAAAATGTATTTGAATATCCAGAAAGTGGCTCATATACCAGTGAAAACGATCAGTTAAATAAATAACATATTTTTATTGGTTAGAAATAGTTTTATCACTAATAACAAAATATCCACCACCGCCTAAATTTGGAAACACCCCCCCCCCCCCCCCCTATAATAAAAAGCTGGGGAACATACTGGCCTAGTATGATAGGAAAATATGTTGGATTCGTTCAACTACTAAAACAAGAATTGAAGCGCGACCTTGTTGAATTTTACTGTTTTATACACCAGGAAGCCCTTTGTGCAAAAGCTCTTCAATCCTTTTAAAACGTTTTAATCGTTGTTGCAAAAATAGTCAAATATATTGCAGCCCGTGCTCTCAACAAACGTGTGTTTACTTACTAAACTCGTGCGACAATGAATATTTTGGAGTACTCATGTACAAATACAATAATGTAAGATGGTTAAGTTGTGGCAATGTTTTGCACAGATTTGTTGAGTTATTGTTAGAGGTAAAGATTTTTAGTTGAGAAAAATGAAACATATCCAGAGTTAAGAGAAGCTACGTGGTTGATTGATTTACATTTTTTTGTGGATTTTACAAACCATTACTACACTTTGAACACTAAATTGCAAGGTTGTGAAAATACAGCGTCATCGATGTTTGGGCACGTAAAAACATTTGAGATAAAAAGTGCTGTGTTTTCTGCCGACTTGAAAGTAAGTAAATTGAAATATTTTCCACAACTTCTAAAGCACTTCACCAACAACAACTTGTAACAAGAAGTTCGTGAAAATGCGTTCAAAAGTATTTTTGTGTCATAAATGAGGCAAAAAATGTTATTTCCTCTGGGTTTGTTCGGTTTCGAGAACTAGATGCTACTTTGCAGTTCATTCTTTTACCGCATTAAATTGAATTCGACGATCACAAATTAGCAAAATTCGAAAGAATCAATTCCAATTTGGAAATGGAAAATTAGACTTCCAAGAAAGTGTCGTATGGAAAACGAAATTTATGCACCTAAATCGATGCCTTCAGAAATTTGAAATAAGAATGGACCTTTCCCCGACCTTTGACCCCCGGAAATTCTTTCTATACTTCACCATTTCAAAATTTTTGGGGCTTATTTTAGGAGTGGTTTCACGAGTTGGCGCATGTAAAATGGGGTAGGCCTATTTGTTTCAAACCATCATTATGATTCATCGCATACAACAATCTGTTTTTTAAAAGTACCGATAAAGGATTTTATCACAGTTATTTCTACACTAATTTTTCATTACTGCGATTAAATTAAAACTCCTACAAAGACAGAGTGATCATTGAATTATCTGATTTATATGTAATTTTCCGAAACACAACTGAAAACTAACGAATAGATTTCAAAAACGCGAAAACGAGGAAATGTTTGCTACCACGCTTGAAAATCTGTCTGAGCGGATGCGAAAAGGGAGCATTGTTACGTCTTTTTTTGCATCTTGCTGATTGGCCAATGTCACGAAGTGAACAAGGAAGTCGATGCTTGAGGAAAGGTCCATTAAATATTGAACCTTGAGTGTCGGTTTCGCGCGGCTTCCCTTCTCCAGTAAAATGTGTGTTTAATTTTTTTTTCAATTTTGTGTATTATTTACTGGATGGAAAAACTAACATTGACTATGACTAGACAATACAGGATATTTCAGCAATCCTCTAACACTGTGGTTCCTCTTTGTTCATGCGATGACAAATTATATATTTCAGTTTTGTTCAACACAATTACGTTAGTTTGTTTGCGGCGAATTTGGCAACTCGCCCGCAATACAGTCAGAACCGCTGCCAAAGCACAGAGGTGTGCAAACTACGGTACGCGGGCCTAATACGGCTCACAGGGGGAAATTGTGCGGGGAATTGCGAGCAATTCCAATCTCTTTGCGCCGCTGAGCATTTACAAGTTCTGAGTACAAACTAGCTTGCAAAATACACGATGTTATATAAAAACGTGTTTGTCACCGAATTCGTTTGAGGTCGGTTTGACAATAAATTTCAAAATAGCAATTTTGTTTAGAAATTTATGCGTTTCAAACTACCATTTCTGCAGGGAACCCTGACAATGCGGTAAGATCAAAAACACTACCAAGAGGCCTATCTTAAATAAAGGTGCGACGCGCGGCTTCATCCAGTTACTTCTATCAGGCCCTATTGTAACAAGAGAGCTACGCCCAAATATATGGGCACGTCTGTTCGCAGTACAGTACGGTTTACCGTACCATCAGATCACAGTCTTCAAATATATTCACACCAAGCGAAGCAGTACAGTAGGACACAAAATGGCGTCCGATGTCCGCAGAATGTTCGGTGACGTCATAGCAAACAAAAACAAATCTCACAGAGCTAACAGAAATATTTGAAATAAATAAAAGTAATAGCCTTCTGGAGAAAAATTTCATCTTAAACCACTAAACATTTCAAAGCAATTGGTCCAGTGATTGTTGATGATGGCTAATAATGCCTTGTCGAGTAACGTCCCTAATAATTGATTGTGCTATCTGTCTTGTGCTAACGTGTCGCAGTTGCGTCACTCGCTAGTATGTTCAGTTGCTGTAGACATCTTATGTTGTGTGTTATGCTGGTGTAATAAAGAAGTGTAAGCGTATTCAGTTGAACCCTTATTCTATAATAGCTTGGGTGTAGAACTTAACATATAACCAAGACATTATTAACATGGTGGCAGCGGTATCTGAAATTCGCTTACCGTCGACTCTTGATCTGCATGATGAAAATTTATCAGAAACATTTAAGAAATGGAAGAGACAGATTGATATTTTCATGCTAGCCAGCGGTTCTACTAGCAAGTCAAAGGAAGAACAGAAGGCAATAATCTTATATTGCGCAGGTGCTCAAATGATTGAAGCTGCCGAACACTTTGTCTACAATGATACAGAGGACGAAAATGACCCTAAAGTTCTACTACAGAAAATGGCTGAACACTGTAATCCTCGGAAGAATGAGGTGATGGAGACTTTTCGCTTTTTCAATATACAGTACAAAGACAATTTTGATACATTTCTCATTGAACTCCGTAGTAAAGCCGATTCCTGTAATTTCGAAAACAAAGACCGAATGATCAGAGATAAAATCGTATTTTCAGTAAGCGGTAAATTACAAGAAATTTTGCTGCGGGAAAATGATCTCAATATGTCAAAAGCCATAAAGATTTGCCAAACATATGAAATGTCAGAAAAGCAAGCGACGGAGATCCGTGCATCTTCAGAAAGCGAGCAACGAATTTTGTTGACTAAAAATAGACAATATCGAAATACGAACAGAGCTCCGAAAAACAAGCGTATTCCAAATGCATACCAAGAATGCAAATTTTGTGGACGCAGACACAAGTTCGGGATATCCTTTTGTCCTGCCTACGGAAAAACTTGTCATTCGTGCGATGGTAGAAATCATTTCCGAGTGAAGTGTAGAAACGCAAGCTATGTTCGACAAATGAAGAAACATGACCAAAATGAAGAAACGCTTGATGAAGGTCATCAACGTGTCCAGAATATAAATAACGTCAACAGTTCAAGAATTACTGCTCTGATGGAAGTCAACAATTATGAAGTCAGATTTCAAATTGATAGTGCTGCAGATGTCAACACAATATGCGAGAAATATGTGCGGAAAGACCAAATTAGACCAACTACTGACAATCTTGTGATGTGGAATAAAACGAAAATGAAACCACTTGGTGAGGCAATTTTAAAGGTAAAAAATCCTCGAAATGATGAAGTCGCAGAGGTAAGATTTACTGTTGTGAAGAATAATTTCAACTGTCTTTTGGGGTTAATGACAATACAAGAAATGGGTTTGATTACAATAAACAGCGATAAATTTATTGCAAATGTTGACCTACCGCAAACTTTGGGAAACTTGGGAATAGCGAAATTAAAAGTTGATCCCGATTTTCAACCTAGAGTTTTACCTTGTAGAAAAATCCCAATAGCTCTTCAAGATAGAGTTAAATCAGAATTAGATAACCTGGTGAAAAGGGGAATCTTAATACCGGTGGATGAACCTACCGATTGGGTTAGTCAAATGGCTGTGACTGAGAAACCTAACAAAAAGCTTCGAATATGTATTGACCCTCAACCTTTAAATGCCGCGTTGAAACGAGAACACTACAGATTACCTGTTCTTGATGATGTATTGCATAAGCTACGCAATGCAAAAGTGTTTACCAAGTTTGATGTAAAAGAAGCATATTGGCACGTAAAATTAGAAGAGGAATCGAGTAAGTTAACAACAATGATCACACCTTTTTCTCGTTACAGATGGGCTAGACTCCCATTTGGTTTGAATGTGAGCAGCGAAATATTTCAAAAACGTTTAAATGAAGCATTGTTCAGATTGAAAGGTGTTATAACGATTGCAGATGACATCATAGTAATTGGATGTGGAGACACGAAATCTGAAGCGGAAGCGGATTTGAGAGAGAACACAAGAAATCTCCAAATAAGGTGCCGAACTAAAAACATTAAATTAAATGATACCAAAGCAAGAATTATGAAAGAAGAAATAACTTTTATGGGCCATAAGATTACAACTAGTGGGATAGAGCCAGATCCTGCTAAGACAGAGGCCATAGTGAAAATGTCATCGTTAAAAGATGTCAGTGATGTGAAACGATTTTGTGGCATGATTCAATATTTATCCAGATTTTTGCCTAATCTTGCCAGTGATCTAGAGCCAATTCGAAATCTCACTAGAAAGAATATTAAATGGCTATGGGACGAAAAGTGTGAGAAAGCTTTTCAATTGGTCAAACGAAAAATTTCGAAATCGCCCGTATTAGCTTATTACGACCCTAACCTTGACCTAGTTCTACAAGTTGATAGCAGCAAAGATGGTCTTGGTGCTGTTTTAATGCAGAATGAGAAGCCTATCGAATATGCATCCCGTGGTTTGTCAAAATCTGAAAGAAATTGGGCTCAGATTGAAAAAGAAACTTTATCTGTTGTATTTGGACTTGAACGATTTAATCAATATACCTATGGTCGCAAAGTTATAATTCACAACGATCATAAGCCTCTTGAAACAATTTTGAGCAAACCATTAAGTCAAGCGCCCAGACGTTTACAAACTCTTATGATGCGATTGAACAGATATAATATCCAATTCAAATATATGCCTGGAAAATCCTTATTAATTGCTGATACCCTCAGCAGAAATTTTATCGAAAATTCCAAACATTTTCCACATATTTTGAAAGTAGACGCTTTAGAGCAAATTCCAGATGAAAGAATTGAAGATGTAAAGCAAGCTATGATGAAAGATGATGAATCGATAAAGTTGCTGAGATATATAAAACATGGATGGCCCGAGCATAAGTATGACTTACCTGACTGTGTAAAACCATATTTTTCAATAAGAGATACAGTGGGTTATCAAGATGATATTATTTTGAAGGGTGAACGGATATGGATCCCAAAATCTATGCGTAACGAAATAAAGCAACAACTTCATTTTTCTCATTTAGGTTATGCAAGTATGATGCGCCGTGCTCGTGAAACTGTCTTTTGGATTGGTATGTCCAAAGAGATTGAGCAAATTGCTAACAATTGTTTTTCTTGTCAGCAGACGAAACCAAATAATCAGAAAGAACCATTATTGCAACACAACGAAGGAAGTGTTCCTTGGGAAAAAGTTGGAATTGATTTATGTGAGTATAAAGGGAAAAATTATCTAATCACGGTTGATTATTTTTCAAGTTTCTTCGAAGTTGATGTGATGACGACGACAACTACGAATCAAATCATCATATGTCTGAAACGCCATTTTGCTCGACATGGTATTCCAAAGATGTTAATCTCAGATTGTGGGAGAAATCTCAACTCGTCGGAATTTGAGAAATTCATGAGAGATTGGAGAATTCAGCATGTTACCTCTTCACCTGGACATCAACAAGCGAATGGAAAAGCTGAATCGTCCGTGAAAATTTTCAAGAATATGCTGAAAAGGACTGCAAACACGAATGAAGATCAATTTCTAGCTCTTCTAGAAATAAGAAATACGCCGCGTCAAGATTTGAACAGCAGTCCGTCAAAGATGCTATTTTGTCGATCAACCAGATCGATTATACCGACAATTATGAAACCAAACGAAAATTATGACTCGAAACGACTGCGCCGAAAGCACAGCGTTAAGAAGAGTTATGACAAATCTACAAGACCAATGCGAGAACTTGAGTTGGGCGAAGCTGTATATTTTCAACATCCAGAACGGAAGGGATGGAATAGAGGAACTATTGGGAAACGAATTGCTACACGATCTTACATTGTCAAATCGAAGAATGGTGTTACATACAGACGAAATCGTGTTCATATCCGTCCTGATGAAAGTTGTAATATCGAAAAATATGAACCAAGTATTCCATTCTTGTCTGACTATAAGCCGAACAACCTCCCGGTTGCCAATGACAATTCTCGACCTCTGATTTCGAATGATGTTCCAACCAGACCTCGTCGAAATCGTAAACCTCCTATTTGGATGAAAGACTATGTGACTCAGTAGTGACTATAACTTGAGTTTGAGTGTTAAATATTATTGCTCATTTATGTGTCTTAATTTAGTGGTCATGAATTGTGTAATAGGTAAAGGTGAATATTTCCTATTCTGAATTTGAAAATAATTTATGAAATTCATCTTAAACAAAGAGGGATGTTGATGATGGCTAATAATGCCTTGTCGAGTAACGTCCCTAATAATTGATTGTGCTATCTGTCTTGTGCTAACGTGTCGCAGTTGCGTCACTCGCTAGTATGTTCAGTTGCTGTAGACATCTTATGTTGTGTGTTATGCTGGTGTAATAAAGAAGTGTAAGCGTATTCAGTTGAACCCTTATTCTATAATAGCTTGGGTGTAGAACTTAACATATAACCAAGACATTATTAACAGTGATAAAGAGAAAAGCGGTTCTTTAATATTTCCACTAGGTGTCCAAAAGTGTCAAAGAACAACAAAACGATCGTTATGTCCAATAAACGTGTTCAATAAAGGTTGCACACCACGACTCTAGCACATTAATTACCCCCTATCTCCGAATTTAAGCATGAACTCGCCTAACACACAGCAAAAATGTGAAGTGATAGTTTTGGGGAGATTTTGTCTTGTCCGTATACTTTTTGTATTTTCTATTTCAGAAAACCAAAATAAATGATTGATTCATATGATCAGGGGCGTAGCCAGAAATTTTCACAGGGGGGGGGGGGGGTCTGAATTTATTATTTGCCAAGTTGGATCGAATCAGCTAGCTTTTTATTAGTCTTGGGGGTCTAAAAAGCATTTTAAGCTTCGGAAAATTTCTATCTATGATACAGAAAACTGATTTAATTATTTTGACACTTGGAAGGGGGGGGGGGGGGGGGGGGGGAGGGGTCGACTCGCAAAACCATCCCCTGTCTACGCCACTAGATATAATCACATTACAAGAGGATACACATACACGTCTCATATTTTAAAATTAATTCAAAAGGTATTGCCCGGTTTTACATCGTGTTTTCACTGTTTTTGGTGGACGGCGCGTACTTGTACGTTTGTTGTTGTTTTGTGTTTTGTTTCTATCAGAGTGACCAAATAAAATTGAATGATTGGTGTTTTATGCGGTCACTGGCGACTTATGGATTTCTTTATCTTACCTATTCAAGTTCATAAACCTGAAAAAATTCCCTATTCCTATAGCCCCCCTAAAATTCAACAACACCCAATCCCCCTAATTTCAGTACACCATACCTCAACTCATAACGCAGGTAAACTTGTATTTGAATATTCAGAAAGTGTCTCATATGCCAGTGCATTGGATCAGTCAGATACACATTTTTATAAACTACAAGGGTTTTGTTACTAAGAACAAAATATTTAAGAGCCCCTAAATTTGGGAATCCCCCCCCCCCCCCCCCGAAAAAAAATAACGGGAAACATACTGCCCAGAGGCTTAGTTTATTTGCAAAAAACCTAGCATATAGGCTAATCTAATATAGAACAAACAGTAAGGTATGGGATCAAGTGGCACAATGATTAATGGGAATGGTGTTGCCTGCTGCATGCGTCCCGAAGCTAGATTCTGAACAATCCCTTATTAAACAATACACATGAACAATAGCATTGCTTGAAAGAAAGTATTTTGTGATTGGTTATAAAAGTGCATATTTATCATAATAGTAATTCAAAAACGATGTGTTAAATACAGATCGGAGTGAATTGATACTAATGTTTTGCTAAGCAGTATTCTCCCACGCGGTACAGCCATGTCTTAAGTTACAGTATATTTCATAAACGACATTCAAATATCAACACAATTCTGCAATGGTCCATTGTAGGAAATTTTTAGTTCTAGTTTCGAGTAAAGTAAAGTACTCTGAGAGTCCTAAGTTTAGTTATAGTATATGTCATGAACATGACTAGTACTGCACACAAGATTTACCAAGTCAAGTCGGTACTGTTGGTAATAAAAAGTAAAAGTAGATTTCATAAACAGCATTGTAATGATAGAAGTGTTGGGCACAAGTCCGCGTCATGCATCATCAGTTTCAGAGTCACAGGATATTTTTAGTTTGAACGTAAAAATTTTTAGTCGAGCCGAGCAATGTACTCTTCAGTCATAAGTCGTTTGTAATAACAAGTGAAAAAGGTTTCATCAACGACATTGAAATGGATAAATATGAGTCAATGAAGATATACTCAACTCCCTGTCATTGTGGGACGGTTTGTTACAGCTTCCTCCACAAGTCATAAAATTCAAATGGCAGACCCAGCGGGTCCCAAACTTTTTGATCATGCGGCGCGAAATTATCAGGGAAAAATCTCGACTTACACAAAAAATGGTTCTTTCATATAAAACTCATTTTCGTTATCGTTAATGTGTATTTTGTGCCTTTTGAAAATCGTAAACGTAGGCCTGAGAAATAAAGGCAAAATGTCAACTCTTTCTCCTCGGTTCTGCCTTATTATTTTGAAATGCTGAAACAATCACTCATGTTGGTTAAACTCGGTCGGTTCACTAGACTCTAGTCCAGGGGTCACCAACCTTTTCGAAGCCGAGGGCTACTTTTTGGGTTCAGATTAAGCTGCGGGCTACCAGTTCAATGTACACTTCTAAAAAAATCAGTTGCTCGATTAAGCTTCAATTATTGATATAATTACTGGTATTTAGTGAAGTATAGACACTAATAAACTTTAGGATTCTTCAGGAAATCAAACGATTATCACAACGTTGCAAATAAATTTCTATCCATTACACTTGTATTTCAAAACTGAGTGTTTTCAAATTGATTTTCAACACTCTGCACAAGTCTAAGATAAAATGGACTTAACAGTTGTACTATCGAATGTTGCAGAGTATTATACTCCCACGTGTAACTTGACACTGTAACTCTGAGCGAGTCTTGCAGATTTTCATCAGTGAGGCGTGTTCCATGTTTGTTCCTGGTGGAGTGAGTCGCGGCGCTATGGCCCATCGTGTTGAGCGTTAGGTTCGCAGGTTAGAATCCCATGCGGGGATTGTTATGTGCAAAAGGATTGCTGGACTCCTCGCCGCGGTAGGGTGGTTCACGTAACCGCTGGTCGGTTAAGGCTTCCTCCGCCATCAAGTCCAGGCTCCCGGAAACAAATAACTAACTAATTCCATACCCGACATCGAATGGTAACCGGCGAGAAGCCGTGGTTTATCATATGGTTAAGCCGTCCTATCGGCTATCTTCTCCTCCGGGATGAATCAATAATTGTATTATTACTACTCCGCTAACCAACGAACAAGAAAAAGCGCGGGTTCGTGGAAAGTGATCTCAGTGTGATGTCATAATTGGAGAGTGTTAATTGACCCGTCACATTACTGAGGTCAAATAAAAATAAGGTTGATGGTTACAATAATTAATATAGTGCCATTTTTAGTTCCCATATAAGTGTGATTTATACTAAAATAGCAGGACAAAATATAATTGATGTAGCTTACTTAAAAGAGCCTTTATCAAGCTTAGTTTGGGACAGACCTGCGGGCGACTAATATGGTCTTCGCGGGCGACTTGGTGCCCGCGGGCAACGCGTTGGTGACCCCTGCTCTAGTCATTATTTTTTCTTTGGTGCACATTCGAGTAAACTGACTTCTACCATGATAGAACCAGCCACCCCTTTATATTGTGAAGATTGGGTACACACGTTAAAAGCTGATAATATTGGAGATTTAGAACCCACTTCCCCAGATACTTGGTCCACTCAAAACAAGGCAAAAGTTACTTATAGTTGGCCATCCTCTAGACACGGACAAGTGATCAATGCTCATTTGTCTCGTATTCAAATTTCGTATGATTCTTTTCATGGGTTAATGTTAGGTGCTTTCCCTTCAATTTCCACCTGCAACATATTAACTGGGTCATGCACATTGGGAAGTCAAATTTTAATTTGAAAACACCACCCTTTAATTGATTGCCCTCAATACCAAACAACTGTTACTGAACTTATTTTACATTATAATTCTTCTAATCAGATTTACCGCTTAGATTTTCCAAGACTTGGGCAATCAATCCATAACTGGGGTTTATGTGGCAAGTCAGTTAAAAGATGTTTTAAGTCTGATACTTTTTGTACCAATAATGGTTTGTTATTTGAAACGCAACATTGCATTGCACTTGATGGTTTCTTCCCTTTTTACTCTTAAATACCCCGCCTTTAATTACGATTATACTGTAAAGAATTTTTTAGAATCTTCTCCTCTAGTTGGGTTTATTCAAAAAAGCACTGATAGGGTTTCCGAGGTGATAAACAAATTGACAGCAGATATTAATTATTTGGAATGCCAAATTGAAAGCATTCTAACCACTAATATTAAACTCCTGTCTAAACCAGTGGTTCTCAACCGCCGGTCCGAGGACCGGTGCCGGTCCGCGGCAACCTTTCTGCCGGTCCGCCAAATATTTTTCAATATTAATATATTATAAGCAAATTGCAAAATACAGTGTATTGACGGCATGTCCTTTGGTTTTGTGTTTGTTTTTCTAATTCTTATTGATTCGTAGCACCGTTATTCGTCTAACTGTTGGACCAGGGGTGGGCAAGGTTTTCAGAACGGGGGCCAACAATTTTGCCCATCTAGACTGGCGGACCATGGAAGTATGAAGTAAGATGTGAAAGTTACATTTATGGACAATATTTGCAGTGCTACAAAAGCAAAAGTGGAAAACGATAAGCCCATGCCAAAACTAAATTTTATCGCAATCCCAACAATTCTTTGAGCTATTTTTTGCTGAAACAGCAAAATTTGGCTTTAGTTTGGTTGTAACAGGCGGGTCAAATTGAATTACCCAACAGGCCGGATTCGGCCCGCGGGCCGTAGTTTGCCAATGTCTGTGTTAGACTCTAACAACCAAACTTTGTGAGATGTTCTTTGCCAATTTCAATTTCTTCGTTAAGTCTATGACCTCATATATTTTTTAAAATTTTTCCGAAAAATAACACTAGGGCTTGTTTTCGGGCGATGTCTTATATTTTTATTTATCAAAAAAAAAATTCAAAAGTAAAGAATTACGATAATTTCAAATATATATATAAAGTATGAAAACCGATATTCATTTACTTATAAATACCACGTTTTTATTCAAAACAACTGCGAAACATAGATTATCAATCATTTAAAACGTGTAGGAGAGATTTCTTGATTCCGACTAGGTCAAAAAAAAAGTTCGCGGTAATGACTAGGGGTGGAGATCAAAAAGGTAGTTTAACCTCGAATCGGAGTTTAACTTTGAATCGGCGGTTTAAGTCCGGATCAAAAAGGTGGTTTAACTTTCTGTGACGTAAATCTGGACTTAAAATCGGCGCTTATTTAAACCTGGTCTGGAGGTGGTTTAACTCGGTTTGTCGAGTGCTTTTGGATTGCGGCGCTTGTCGTGTTGGATGGCTTACCTTACCGTACAATCTATATTGTATTCAGTGGCGACAGAATGTGTAGCAGGGAACTCTGTGCAAGCGTCACGACGAAAAAATAATTGTATATTGGTACTACGAGGCTGCGATATGCAGCATTTGCGGTGGTACCGGTACCGTAACTGCTGTAGACTGCGGCTGTACTGGTACCGGTACCGTACAGTCGGTACGTACTACTGTACTATAGCCGAACAAAATTTTTTACAACGTGGAATTGGGCTATACTACTATAACAAAACCAGTAAGGTAGGTAAATAGACGACGTTCGGTACGGTACCGTTCTTGGCGTATTAATATATTTTTGTATTTGTATAAGTAGCCTATTGTGTTTCTTTATTTTTGTAGCAGTTTTTTGAAGATTCATTTTGGCTTAGGTTGTACAGTTGTACCAGTACCGGTATAGTTTATCAAAATACAGAAAATAATATTCTTATTCCTGTATTCATTACAGTGTCTAATAATCGATAATTTATCCATAAAGCAGTAAAGTAATGGCTAGGTCAGCGAATTTTGTCAATAGCGAAAAGCAGCTCCTTGTCCAGATAATTAGCGAACATCCCCAAGTGGAGTCAAAAAGAACGGACGAGGTGTCAGTTGTGCAAAAGAATTTGGCTTGGAAGCAAATCGAAGCCAAATTCAATGCAACTGGCACCTTGTGTCGCCGAACTGAAAAAAATCTGAAGGATGCGTGGAAAAACATCAAAAACAAAGCAAAGCAAGACAATGCCCAACGCAAACGCCATTTGAGGCAGACAGGAGGTGGGCCTGGTGTACCCACCGATGAACTCAGCGAGAAAGTTGAGGGTATGTTATTTGCTGTAGGTGTGTTCCAAATATGGCGTACGCAAAGAGATGCAACATATGAAGTGTGTTATTATGAATACATATTATGGAATTCACATACTGATTATTTAGGATATGTAAATAATCGTAGTAATTGTCTCTATTTGGTATTGAAATGTTAATTTTCACCTTTTTTTTCAGCTCTCATTCCTAGACAAATAAATTGCCTTGCGAACAACTTCGATGATGACAATCAAATTGAAAGCTCGCTCGAAGAACAAACATGTATGTTATTAACAGCATTTACTGCTTGTAATTGGTGGCATTAAAGTGATGTGGCACCACAATATAGTGGTTTTTCATGCTTCTTCTAACCCAGAAATACCAGTTTTGCTTTCTTCTCCTGTATTCATGAAATGTATTTCGCGTACGTGTGCAAATTTAACGACTTATTACAGAGGATTCGGTATTTATAGCTTTCACATAAATTTAATAATACTGGTATTCATAATTTTATCAACCAGCCTTTTACAATATTAATGAGCGGTGACCGTACATTTGCACCCGTAAATCCACAAGTTCAATCTATATGCGGGTGCTATAACCCATGGGTTAGGGTTAGTATGAGTTCAAATATCCGTAAAAGAAACTAATTTCCATAAGTGCAATAGTATGCAGCTGAATTGTCTTGGGTTCAAATTACGGGTGTAAATGTCTGTGGGTGCAAATGTAATGGAATCTTAATGAGCAGATATAAAATCATTTTGTAATAATACATGCAATACACATATATTCATCGCCTAAAACTAATTCTTCATTTGTTTCATCACTATCTGCAGTTTAACTGATGACATGGTGTGATCAGAATTCCCATTTTTTTCAGACACACTTGTTTCAGTAGCTGAGGAATCTTCATCTTTCTCAGATGGTAAGTTCAATTAAAAAAGATTACTCAGACACTCCATATCAGACAAAGCTGGATTTGACAAAGTGTAATCAACCATGATGGCAAACCTTTTTTATGAATGGGTTAAAATTTTTATTATGAAACGAAGACTTGTGGGTCATTCAATCAATATCTGCATGAATGAGAAACTTGCTCTTGCTACTTATAACTTAAAGCTTTACTCATGGAGCACTCATATCATGTCTCATTGCAGAAGCGATTTTTGGTACTGAATTTTGACGGTTGACTAACAGTTTGAGGTCTAGTACATTGAAATGTATTTAATTCGATTTCTGTTTTTCAGGTAACGAATCAGCAGTTTTGCAGACATTGAGTACAGGTAATCTAGTGATAATTGCTATCCAGATTCAAAACATATTCCCACAACAGGCTATCGCTGTTTGTTCAGATCTTGTCTATAGTTTATTCACATGTTTAGGAGGTTCACGGCTTTGCAATGTATGTTTCAAAATCACCCCATGATTAAGTAGCGCAGCAGTAGCAACTTTACAATGTACTCAGATAAACAGAACAGCGGTAGTATTTTAAAATTTAAGCAGTATTTAATTTGAGCTTTTGTTATTGTGAATATTAGTACAGACCTAAAGGCAGGTAGGCATTAAAATTGAAAGCAGTTTTTTAGTTTTTATATCACGTAATGGCAGCAAATATTAGTTGTAGCAACATAACATTATATCTAGATAGACAGTGTAGCAGCACAATGGATGATTTGAGAAGAAGGGTGTTGACAGAGAAGTTGGAGGCAATGGCGGAGGAGAGGAAAATGAGAAGGGAAGAGCATGATATAAAAATGGAGTATTACCGTAAAAAAATAGCTAAGTTAGAATGAAGGATTTTATTGTATTATTTGTTTTTGTTGCAAAATGGTTAATTAAAACAAGATTGATACAAGATTGTTAATTATTTTGGTGGATGTACTGAGATATATGTTTTCCCATACTTTGCGTCCTTCTAGTTTTTATGAATTTGGATCCCACAGTGTTTCGGCTTCTCGTCATAATCTAAAACTGTCATCAATATTAAGGTAGGACCGTTGCAGGACCCCAATAGATGTCGCGTTTCTTGCGACATAGGTATTACTGATTAGATACAACTGGCCTCCAAATATTGATGTGTTTAAGGTTTGCTTTTTGACATGCTATAGTCACATAATCTGATTTTGAAGTGCTTTGGCTGCGCAATTACATATGGGGCTAAATTGGGAAATCGACTTGAACTATACCTCGGAAATTACGAAAGAAATCATAAATGTAGAAAAAAGCTGGTAACAGAACAAACTTGACAAATATTTAATAACATGAACTGAGAACGTGCAAACTGGTGGATAACTAAAAACAACACCATGGTACACAATGAAAAATAGGGTATCTTAAAAATAAGTATAAACTTTCAATTTTGATTTGCTTTTCAGGTACTCCTCATAGAGCGTTGATTCCTTCACGAAACATAGTATGGATAAGTAGAAAAATACAGGTATTGTTTGCATTTTTATTAACCCACGGAATTACAACAAGGAGACTAACCCAAAAATGAGGTTCAAAATTGCTGTTTTGCAAGAAGCATATAAATTAGTAATTCGTAGTCGGCGCCTCTTCAACAGATAATTTGGAATTATTGATCTCCTTCAACACAAATATTTATGCGATTTGTTGTAAATTTATGAAAACTGGATTTGTAGTTGATGCACAAAGATCAGGAAGACCAAGGAGTGGACGCTCCGAGGAAAACATTCTGAGCCGAATTTATTTCTAAATTCTTCGCTGAAGAGGTGCTGAGTTTGCCTAACTGATTTATATGCCAAACAGCAGGTTTGCACCTCAATCCTTCGGTTAATCTACCGTATTTGTCATTCTGTGTGTTTGATAAATATGCAAACAATACCTAAATTTACTACTTATCCATAACTATGTTTACTGATGAAATGAACGTCTATGAGGAGTACCTAAAAAGAAATCGAAATAAAAATGTATACTTACTTTTGAAACACCTTTTATGTTACCTATTGTAAGCTAAGCTAGCTACAGATCAAAAGTATTGGTCAATAATGTTTGCACGTGTAAGATGACCTGCTTGGGAAGACTGTATTTGTTGACTTGGTTCTGTGTCATCGCTTGTAGCTATGGCAAGATCGTGTTCTAATGGCTGATTTGTTTTCATGGCAAAATTATGCAAGCAAGCAACTGCCACTATAATGGTTAGGGTGTTGTCCAGCCTTGTCCTCATTTTACTCTGCAAATCTTTGTTTCAGAATACCGAAACACTGCTCAATCCTAGCTCTGGTGTGGATGTGCGCCTTGTTGTAGCGATTTTCTTTGCCACTTGTAGGGTTTAGGAGAGGGGTAAACAAATATGGTTTACAAGGGTAGCCATTATCCCCCAACAAATATCCATCAACTTCATTTCTCTCTAATTTATCGTGGATGATGCTGTTGGCAAAAATCCTAGAGTCATGAGTGGATCCAGGCCATCTTGCCACAATATTAGTAATCACTCGGTTGGCATCGCAAATCGCCTGTACATTTATGGAAAAATACCCTTTTCTGTTACGAAACACCTCTGCATCTTCACCCCCTGGCGACTGAATTGACACGTGCGTGCAGTCAATCGCCCCAATGACAGATGAAAAGCCAGCCACATTGAAAAAATTTTGCTTAACTTTGGAAAGATCTTGACCCAAAAAATCAATAAATTTACGTTTCTGCTTGGCAAAACAAGTCGCAACTCTATGGATAGATCTCCGAGCAGTATGTCGACTCATTCCCATCAGGTCGCCATCTGTCATCTGAAAATGACCACAAGCGAAAAAAACGCAGTGCGGTGAGAAGTTGAAGAATTGGTGGGAGGGAATGCTTGCGGACAACCATTCCAGTATCATTTTTTATAATATCGAGTAAAATAAGCACGCTGTCTTTCGAAAACCTGTACCGTTGTGTAAACTCATTCTCGTTAAGTAATTGGAATGGGTCTTGTACGTCTCTCAAATATGACCTTGAAATCACTTGTCTCTCCTCGCCTAATTCCTCACTGTCTATCATTTTCAAAATATCAATTACGTCCATTTTGTACAATTATAATTTTATTTTGCTCTTACGTCTACAACACAGAACATGAATAAAAATAAAAGAAACACCGACATGGACCACGAGAAAAAGGCTTGTGCCTGTTCACTCACACAAGTGAAAAAACATTACTAAACTGAATTAGTAAAAATAATGCAATAGAGAAAGTAACATTCATGGGCGATTTTATATCGTTTATATTTAAACGCAGGTTTGCATGTCTTACAGGTTTTAGGATCGCGCCTGCCTGAAGTACAGACCTTCTTTATACCTATTTTAGCGCGATCTGTTCTGTAGCTGAAAAAAACACTCCTTAATCGGCTCTCTTCAGCTGTAGCAAAGCGACTATATAACCTCTTTGGGTCGCAGACGACAGTTCACGAAGCCATCACCATGGAAATACAGGGTCAAAGAGCAACATGCCACGACGTTTCGGTGAAATGCCTCGTGGCGTCCGACTTAAACTAGGATTAGTTAAGTAACCGCTAAACTAGGTTTTTGATCTCCGGTTAACTTTCGAAGTTAAACCGAGTTTAACTAATCCGAGATTAGTCTTAATCTAGGTTTAAGTTAAGTGAGGTTTTTGATCTCCACCCTAGGTCTTATTTTAGGGGAAGGGCTTATAATAAAATATTTCTTAAAATTCAGGCTAGGTCTTATTTTCATGGTATGTCTCAATTTCGAGGAAACGCGTTTCACGTTTTAAAAGAAACCCAGCGGTGAAAACCAAGTTAGTGGTGTTTACAGGAAGAGACTGCTACTTCAACTTTACAACATACCCCGAAACGACCTTGCAAGTTGCAGCAAAATCTATATGGATCATGCGGAAACAAGCAAGAAACGAGAGGGATATTTTATTGAGCACTATAATAAGTATTTGGAGCTAGGTTTGACTATTGCTCCCAGCAGCGACAAAGTACCGCTTCCTACGTGCATAGCCTTCGCCAAAATTCTTTCAAACGACGCAATGAAACCCGCAAAGCTAACGAAATCGCGTGGAAGTCAACGCTCTACTTTGCCTTGCACAAACTTCATTAGAACTACGTTCAACACGTATAATATCAAAAAGACAGCAGCAAATTTTTTATAGAACTGGATTGTCTTTTTTTGCACCGCCTACTTTTGTCGTAATTGCATTCTTTTGATTATGTTTTGTGTTCATGACCGTTTTTGGTTAATTTTGAAGGTCCGCCGGTCCACTAATTTTTTTTTTGAAATTTTACCGGTCCGCGAACTGAATACTAATGGACACTCTCATAGTTATTCCCACACCCCTTCGCAGGACCATACTGCGGTCACTACACTCTGCGCATCAAGGGATCACAGGCATGAAAGCAAACCAATTAGTCTATTGGCCGGGCATGAACGCCATGAATAGAAACTTTCGATTTGGATGCCTAACATGCACGAAATACACTCCATCTCAAACTAAAGAGATAATGATATCAAGCTCGGCGCCACAGTAGCCCTTTCAACACATATGCGCCGACTACTTTGTACTGGGGAACCACTGCTATCTATCTGTTGTAGACAGATTCAGCGGTTGGATCAGTATTTTTCATTACCCACCACATCGATCAATTACTAAAGAGCTCATCAACTCATGTCGTGAGTCATTCTCATCCTATAGTGGACCTCAATTCACCTCATCGGAATTCCAGAACTTTTTTCAACTGATTGGGGAATGGACTAATGGAGCATCGAAAGTTTTCAGCACCTTACCCACAATCAAATGGACGGGCAGAGCTAGGAGGTAAAACTGCCAAGAGGATCATTCGTGATAGCACATCACCTGACGGTTCTCTGAATAATAATAGGGCAGCACAGGCAATCCTACAATACAGGAACACTCCTCTTTAAGACATTGATCTCAGCCCAGCTCAAATACTTCTGCATAGAAAACTGCGGGATCACATTCCTACAAATCCACAGCATTATCGTCCCCATCCACAATGGATTATATCCGCAGGGGAACGTGAGCAGAAACTAGCTAACCTCCATCACATCATTGTCGACAAATATAACAACACTTCAAGAAACCTCCCTCCACTGTCAGTTGGGACAACAGTTGTTAAACAATCACAAGGCCCAAATAAGCCACGACACTGGAACATGACTGGTCGAATTGTAAAAATCCTACCCTACAGACGGTACAAAATCAGAGTAGATGGCTCCGGAAGAGTGACCATACAAAACAGACGATTTATACTACCTCGCATCATCATTCAACCCCTTCGATCATGCAATTCACACCAACAATTCCCAGCGGAGAGAGATGAAGACACTGGAAACTCTGCGAGTCATAATGCAGGAATTACCCAAGATACTCCGGTGGAAATACAACCAAGTCATCATGTGAGCCCATCCATCGCTAACCAACATAGCTCCTAGATAGATTGTCTAGAGCAGTGGTCGGCAACCTTTTTCAAGTGACGGACCGGCAAAGCATGACCAAAAAATTATACGCATTAGAAAATTTATGTTGACAATATAAGAAAAAAACAAAAGTGATGCTGTTTAATGCAATATCTGTATTTGTTTGCTGGCCATTAACTGTTCCCATATTGGAGATATGGTCGACATTGACACACATAACGTGTTTCTTACATCCAGACTACTTCGATATTTCGTTTTTGTAGTTATCAATATTGGAAACCAGGTCTCACATTAAAAGGATTGATGTTTGTTTTGCCCATTTATGATTATCCGGATTCTGAAATATAGAATTAGCCGTTTTTGTGTCGCCTCTCTGCGTACTGGCAGTAACTTTTCCGCGGACCGGCGATGGGCCGCGGCCCGGTGGTTGCCGACCACTGGTCTAGGGCGCTTCAGAGGTTACAACCCTACAACAAGCCAGGAAGACTTGAGGAGAACTATAGCGTTACTGAACAAAAACATTTCTCTATGTACAAGACTCTGCTCCTCTGCCGGAAAGTAGAGATGAACATTACATTATATTTCATTGCATGTTTCAACTGTTTCGTTCTTGTTCTTTAGATCGTATTTTACTTAGATTGCTTAACTTGTTTGGCCTTGTACTATAGTTACTTTATGTCAATTGATTTAGATAATTTATATTAAATTTTTTAGGCTTGGGAACTCCAACTGATTGTTCAATGGTTATTGGGAGACGCTGTATAGTGTATACAATGCATCAGAGATAATGGTGCGAGGCCAGCTACACGGACGGATGAAACTTCTGGTCCCACACTGAAATAGATACACAAGAAACCGATGACGAAACACCCATTTGTATGCCCTGTTCATAGATAACTTTAAATGTATATATATTTATGTCATGCCATTTGTCACAAAAAAGTATGAAATGAAATGAAGTTTAAAATGCTGATCCTTTTTTTATTATGTTTCAGAGATTTTTAAATAAATATGTTATTTTCACGAATAAATAAAATTATTGCGTTATTGGAAAACAGCAAATTCACAAAAAGTTTGAAAACATACTACAACTAAAAAAAATTTGCAAGTTGCGTACTAAAATAGCACGGTCTATGATCACTTTGAACAATAGTGGAAGATTGGAAGACATTTCCAGTTTTAAATAAAGCAAATTTCCGTTCTCGAAACAATAAACAAAAAAATGACCGTTTCGTTGTTACTGTTTCATACGAAACTTCATCCACATGATTCCTAGTGTTGAAAATAAATATAAAAGTATAAATTCAATCACGAGCAATTAAATAATTTTCATGATTCATGATGACAAGAGATCGCCTTGATGTTTACCGTAGTTTACGTCATAAACAGCTATAATGCTGGTTGGATTTCTCATCAACA